TTTATCCTTACCCTGGATATTTCTCCATTGAAGACTTTCAGGGCTATTAGATGATGATTGGCGTGCACCTATATGAAGTCCCATGGAAAAAGTGGAGTGATTCCATAAAATCTAGAGAGTGCGTATTTCACGATTAAATGATATTTTTTTTATTTTTTTTTTTTGCTTTTTTCTAGAACTCGTGTTGTATATGAAATTGGGAAAAAGATGCATTCCAAAGATGCTTCCTATACTGCAAAAATAAATTGCAAAATAACACTTTTCTATTTTACTCCATTGTAGGTCAAAGAATGAAAAGTGTATGCCATTAAAAAATTTATGGTGATAAGTAATTTCTATACTTACAAAAAATGCACTCATTATTTTATGTTGTAATTCAACTATGCTACTTTAGTTAAAGAAAAAAAAAAATGACAACTTTCCTAGACAAATTTATTTATTGAAATCATTTTCATCTTTGAAGTCTGTAGATGATAAACAGTTCGTTGGTAAGTTTCATTTACAATTTTAATCTACATCTTAATTCTTTTTTTTTTTTAATTATTATTAACACGTTTGACGTTATTGGCAGGATCGTGAGATATACTCCCCATTAGATAAGATTATTGCAGGGAAGCCTTCTTAACTTATTGATTTTCTAATTGTATGTGGATACAAAGTAAATTATCTAATTTTGTTATTTTTATTATATTTTGTATATGTATTTTTTATTAAGTAGTTTATTTGTTTATAGGGACAATCAATTGAAGGCTACAGTGTGAGATCAACATATACCAAGAGTTGAAACTTTTTTTTTTTTTTTTTAATTCTGACCTTGCAATTCGTATGGTTGTTCTTATGCAATTGTGTAGAGTTACAGAATGATACAAAGAGTTAATCTAAACACAAGTGTTTTAACTTTTCTTTATATTTGAAAGTGTTTGAATAAGGACAAGTAATGAATGTTCTTTTTTATTAGCCGGTTATATCAAGATATATAACTCTTGATACACAGCTCCTTTTCAATTAAGATTTCCAGATTTTTGTGATTTTCTGGAAAAGTAAATTTATTATGTCTTAATCATTACCATAATGTTTTTATCATTTATTTTTGTACATATTTTGTTTATGATTGTCATTTTTTTTGTTTTCAGTTTACATATTGATTAGACCCCTCTAAGAAACATTATTGTTATTTATGAGATGATTGAGATAAACAGTAGCAATAAATTTTTATTTTTTTTTAAATTGATGCAGTGGCATCAAATTTTCTAATCATCTTTTGCCACTTTTTAAAATAAATTATTAGTATAAATTGTCACAATTTAAAATGTATTTTTTTAATGTTAATAAATAAATTAGCCTAAAATAATACATAAAAATTCAAAGGATAAGCAAAGTATAATCTAAAGTATAAAATAAAGTCAAAGTTGTACATGTTTGCAAAGTGATGGAGCATTGTAATAGTCTCAGTGCATCCTAATAAAGGCATCATTTAACTGATTATTCTTTCTTATATCACATTATTAAAGGTTCAATACTGCATATATATATATATATATATATATATATATATAAAGTATTAGTAATAACATTGGTACTGCTAAATGTGTATATAACTAATTATTTATTGATTTAGGATCAAAGAGTGCCCTATATGATCTTAGACCTCAAATTTTACTTCCAAATATATTATAAATAATAATTAACCTACATAAGTACTATCTTATCTTTATATGAACAAAACTCATCATCCTTATGCGTGCATGTGCACATACAAAACTATAAACTGTCATTTTTAGATTGAATTCATCTTTCATGGGTAGCTGTATTTTTACCAACTAATTTACTAAAGCTTATTTTGTAAGCAAATGTAAAATGGATATTAACTAAAATCTTGGTAATATTGTTTCCATATTTACGTATTAACGTAATAACATAATACCATATATAAAAGACATATTAGTTATATTATATAATATAATAATATTTTTGGTAACATTATTGTTTGCAAATTCTCCATTTTTTTTTACGTAATTATAATACCGTGTAGAAAAGATATTAATTAATTATGTAATAACATATTAGCATAATTGGTAATATTATGTATGGTATTATCGTGTATAATTTTTGGATGTTTATTACCCACTAATTTAATACAACTTATTTTGTAAGCAAATGTAAAATAGAAATTAACTAAAACCTTGGTAATATTGTTTCCATATTCAATGCTCTCACGTACTAACATAATACCATGTATAACCAATTTAAACAATTTATAATATAACCAATTCATATATATATGTTACAAACTCACAGTCAAATCTATACTATATAATTAAAAATAAAATCCTATTTACTTGATTTCCTGCCCAAACAATAGTAAATAGTAAAGGTAAATTAAAAAAAAAGAATGAAAAAAGGAACATAAATATTTCACAATAATATTCTACATCATCAATTAAAAATATAATGAAAATTAGGTAAATTGAAAAAAGAAATGAATATTAATAATTCACTGAAAATTAAAAATGAGAAAAAGGAATTGAAGTTAGGTTAATTGAAAAAGTAAATGAATATTAATAATTGACTGAAAATAAAAATGATCCATAATTGACTAGAATGGAAAAGGAAATGGTCAGATCATTGCATTTTAATTTTTCACAATAATATTATACAGTATAATACATCAAATCACAATTATGTCATAAATCTTTCACAATTTTAAACAACGAAATGGAAATTAAAAATGGAACAAAAATATTTTAATAATAATATTCTACATCATCAAGTAAAAGTAAATTAAAAATGAAAAGGAAATATTTAAATAATAATATTCTACATCATCAATAGTAAAGATAAATTAAAAATGCAACGAAAAAAAAATGAAACAGAAATATTTCAATAATAATATTGTACATCATCAATTAAAAATGGAACGAAAATTGAGTAAAAATATCACTGCAGCATCTGATATCCTAATTGGCTAATTGACTGAAAATAAAAAAGAATAATTGGTTGAAAATGAATATGACATTACAAATTGACTGAAAATATAAAAAGAAATGAATATTAATAATTCTACAAATAAAAAATGATCCATAATTGATTAATATGAAAAAAAATAAATGGTTAGATCATGGCATTTTAATTAAAAATGGAACGAAAACTAAAATTTGACGGAAATATTTCAATAATAATTCTACATCATAAATAGTAAATGCATATTTTAAACAGTATTAAAGATAAATTAAAAATGGAACGGAAATATTTCAATAATAATATTATACATCATCAATTAAAAATGAAACAAAAATTAGGTAAAAATATCACATTCTAATTGACTAATTGACTAAAAATATAAAAGAATAATTTGCTGAAAAAATGAATTTGATATTACTAATTGACTTAAAATATAAAAAGGATCGCTAATTGACTAATACTCTACCATTATATATTTTTATTCGAGTCACCTATCCTGATGGACTGAAGGTGTTAACTCTATACGATGATGGACATGATTGCGTTGCTACTACCAATGTTGTCTACAAAGAGGTTTCAATAATGTGTAAATACAATCGTTGATATTATGTTTTTTTAAATGACAAAATTGCTATATATTTAGACAAAAAAAATATATATTCTATACAAATGAATTAAGATAGCAATTCATTCATATAACTGAGTTGCTAGAGAACGAACACCTTTGCCTAATTTGTAAAAAAATTCTAAACAATGATAAATAAAATCATCAAATTACAGCACCGCATACGTACATCTACACATTAACTATTAATTTGAGCAATTATTTGTTCAAATTCAAACAATGATAACATCAAAACACATAATAATCTAAACCATATCTCCAACTGCACTATATAATATTTGATGTTCTAATTTAAATAACTATATATCAATCTAAATATTTTTAATATATTATAACAATCCATTCCGTGCATCGCACGGGCACAAATACTAGTAGATTACTAATACTAATTACTAATGATTAACAAATTAAACTAATTAAATCTATGACGTTTAGTTGTTTTGACTTCTGAAGTTCATATATAGTTTCATAGTCCGTCAATAGAATGAAACCTACACTCATTCATGGTTGGTGACCATATCTCAACGCTTGGAACAATACCTAGTAATTTGAGGATTCAAAATAGTGGTTGTATCCATTAATTATTTAATATTTTCAATATCATCATTTTTTTTACGAAGACAACTTACAATCATTACTAGATAAATCTTACTAGTTAATAATAGTTTACAAACTACACAAAAGTAGTACTCAAAAAAGTGTTGACAAAAATTTAACTCTGAAACAAGAGCTATGTTCTCAGACCTACAATTGACCATCTGTTTCTAGGCCATATCATGATACTTTAAAAGAGTATAATAAGTATACTAAGCACAAAATACATTAGGGCAACCAGAGTTAAAGTTCATCAAATTGTTGACTTAGTAACAAACATATTAATTTTTTTTTTGAGTTAATACCATTTGAGGTCCTCCGAGCATAGTGGTTTTGCCATGTTTAGTTCCTAAACTTTCAAATTGATCATTTGTGGTCCTTCGACTTTTAAATTTAACCATTCGTGGTCCTAATTAATCACCCATGGTCCTTCAAATTTTGAAATTTAACCAGTCGTGGTCCTCTTAAAAGGACCATGGTTGGTTAAAATTTAATAGTTGAAGGACCATGGATGGTTAACTTGGACCACGGATGGTTAAATTTGAAAGTCGAAGGACCAACAAATGGTCAATTTGAAAGTTTAGGACTAAACGTGACAAAACCACTATACTCGAAGAACCTCGGATGATATTAACTCTAATTTGTTTGGTTTGAGTCAGTCAGTTATAAGTAACTTATCTATAATTTATACTAAAATTATGAGACCAAATTTACCCGGTACACATCTTCACTCCAATATCCTATACTCAAAAATATATTCACACAAGTATTCTATATAAATTGGTGAGGAAGAGAATGGAAGCTAGCAAAAAGACACGTTGGAACTTTAACCTCTGCAGACAAATATATACCTTTTTAAACATACGTAAGATCAAATGGGTGGTTATTTACATGTGTTGAATCTTGCACTGAGGATACTTTCGTTTGCCAGCCTCGTCGTTTCCATCATCGTCTTCCTCTCCGCCACCTCCGGCAACAACTACGACGACCACGCCGCTTTCATGTATGACGACGTCAAAAACACCAAATTCACCTTCAACGATTTTTTCTCCTACCGGTGAGTTCTATTTCTACCTTCAATCTTACTCTTTGGTTTATGAAATAACTCACCGCCGTTATTTGGAGGCCCGCTCAGGCAAAATTCATCTTATGATTCTAACGAGTAAATGATCACAATAGAGAACTTTCAGGTATAGCCTAACTTAGAAATTACCAACTTATAAGTTTGACTGCTTGAGGTTGTACTTGTTAGAATCTAATTAAGATTAGATTAAAGGTTCAAAGTTAAGCAACTGAGTTATAATGCACATAAACCAAACCACACTGAAAAATTGAATTTAATGGGAAGAAAGTATAATAATCCAATCCAATTGCAAGTGGTCAATCATTAGATTTAAAATGATTTGGTTTCAGATACTCAGTAGCTGTAGATGGAATTGGAATCTTCTATTCCTTCCTCCAAATTGTGTTAACAATGGTGCATGGGCAGTCCGAGGAATCTTCCGAAGAACTCGTTAAATTTAATCTCTACGCCGACGAGGTACATACAGTTTTTAATCACATTATAATCAAATTAATTTCCACTTTATTTTTAAATTTTCTCTTTTCTTTTACCAAAATGTTTTTGGCATGGGTTGATGATATATATGATGTTGGCCGGAGAAGATAATTTCCGTCGTACTGGGGACAGGAGCGGCTGCCGGATTTGGTCTTACGTTAGACTTGAAACACCTTCCTTGTGCTTCAATCATCGCCAAAAGTTTTCTTAGCAAAATGCTTGTAGCTTCTAGCTTTAGTCTTGGAGGATTTGCATCCACCGCTGTATCATCTATTGTGTCCATCAAAATTTTCCACAAAGACTTAGATGTTTACTGTTAGTTAAATTTTCAAGTTTGTTCTTCTTTTAAATACTGTACTGAATTCGTATAGCAGACAAAAGTTGTAAATATAATAAGTTATGATTTTTTTTTTAATTTTATATATATATATATATATATATATATATATATATATATATATATATATATATTACTATAATATATATAATAAATTTGCCGCCAAAGTTGATCCCTATTGGTATTTATTAGAACACATCCCATGGCTCCTGACAGCCTAGCCGTAGGACCATATTAATAAACGTACATCATCAATCGCCATTAAAATGAAACCTACATTCATGGTTGGTGGCCATAAATATCCCAAAGCTTGGTTGTGAGCATATAATATATAAACATAAACGTACAATTCAACTATCAGTTTAGACTTTTAGTTGAAATGAAACACATGCTTCAATTTGATATTAGAGACTGACGAAAGGTCATGAGTTCAAATGTCAGTCTATATCTTCTTCTGAGAGTACCCCTGATGGATATATTCATAAGTAAAAATTGGGATTAATTAAATACTTTTAAAAGAAAAAAAAAAAAACTAGAATAATTTCATTAAAATTGCTAGCTACTAATAAAGTTGAACCCCGGCATGCAGATTGATCACGTACTCATCAATGTGCTGGCTTAGACAAGCCGGTCCACAATGTTCACACAACTAACTCTTCTATATATATAAAATAGTGAAGAAGAGAGTTGAAGCAAAAACAACATTGGAACTTTGATCTCTATCTGCAGACACATATTGCTCGATCTTATCATACATATATATAAGATCAAATGGGTCGTTTAGCCATGTTGAATCTTGTACTGAGGTTACTTTCGCTTGCCGGCCAGGTTGTTTCCGTCATCCTCTTCCTCTCCGCCACCTCCGACAACAACAAAAACTGCGACAACAACGTTGCTTTCGATTTCCACGTCAAACCCCAATTCACCTTCAACAAGTTTTACGCCTATCGGTGAGCACTTTTGCACCCTCAAACTCTTCATCCTCTTAGTATATTCGTTTTTGAATGACGGGAAGTCGGAGAAACTCACAACCAATACTTGAAGGTGTGCATACACTTGGATAAGCTCATCTGATTACCCTAGTTGGTCAAGTACTACATTATATTTAATTTCAAGAGACAGACAGGATATTGGGCTTAGTCCTTCACCGTCCTTCGCCCAACAATTTCTCCCGTATTTGTTAGTCTTAACTGAACAGTTTTTACTGTTGTTATGTCGAACCCGTGACCTAATAATACACTTAATTAGCCTTCACCAAGCCAGCTTCTACCAAATACACTACTGGAAATTCTGAAATTTCCGACCACCTGAAAGTGATCTTAAAACAAGTCGAAAGCCTTGTTCCGATCACTTTTGGTATCCGGAAAAACTCTTGTTGCTATTTCTGACCACTTTTTGCTTTCAACTTGATTTAAGATCACTTTCAGGTGGTCGGAAACTCAATAATTTCCAGTAGTGACAGTTGTCCATAGTTGACCGGCTCATTAAATCAAGAAGGTCAACAGGTCATTTCTATTGAGAGTTAAATTTGTAACTTTGTAATTAGTAAATTAACAATTTGATTAGACTTACCCAATTTTCCAATATTCTTTCATCGTATACCTAAAATAGAATGTATAAGTGATTGCAGATACACAGTAACTGTGAATGGGATTGGAATTTTGTATTCTTTCGTGCAAATTGTGTCAGCAGTAGTGCATGGGAAATCTGGGGATCACTTCTACCAGGGACTCGTTAAATTTAATCTGTACGGAGACAAGGTACAGATTTTAATCAATCCCACTTATTATTATTAATTTGTATTATTCTGATTTGTTGTTTTAAAAATGTTTTTGGGTTGGGTTTATGATGTTGGAGAATTGAAGGTAGTGTCCATTCTACTGGGGACAGGAGTGGCTGCTGGATTTGGGCTTACGTTGGACTTGAAAAACCTTCCTTGTTCTTCAATCATCACCGGAAGATTTCTTGACAAAATGGCAGTGGCTTGTAGCTATAGTCTTGGAGGATTTGTATCCACAGCCGTAGCATCTTTTATCTCTGTCAGAATTTTCGAGAGTTCGTTAGATGATTGTTCTTGTTAGTTAAATCTTCAAGGATATAATGGTTAGTTATTGGCTTATTGCTTGGTGGTTTATAAATTAATAACTAAGCTTAGTGGCTAAATAATTCTTTACAGGTCGGGAATTGAAGTTACTGATGATTTATTAAGTCCTGTACAAAGAGAACTCATCTGTTACTTGAGCTATCCCATTGGGTTCCCTTTCCGACAAATTATAATTGTATAGAACCGGACAAAAAGTACATTATTCGTGTGCTGAATATACATTATAATGTACTTTTAGTACTCAAATAATAATGTACTTTATTCCGTGAATATAATATACATTTTTAATATACTAATTAAAAGTACATTATTTATGTAATGAATGTACATTATTTGATAGTGTGGTTCACACAATAATAATCGTCCCTTGCCACTAAATTAAAAATAATAAAAGCTATTATATAATATAATGTATCAAAAACATTAATTATAGGTTGTTGTTGTAGATAAAAGTGATGGCTAAAATTGGATGGAGGGACCATGATAATTATTTAAGTGAAAAATAAGGATCTTAGGGTTTGTTGTATATATTAGAAGGAAAGTCTTCAAATTTATAAATTAGGACTTTAGATACCCTAGCTTTAATTTTAATTTAATGATTTCCATGCACCATTTATTTATGGTGTTATTTTCTTGAAAAATGATTATATATAGGGTTGTATGTAATTCTTCTCCCAAAAGGTTGAATCCTTAACTTCAAGGTTTTACACATTCGGCCCGACAGAATATTTGGGAAAATATAAATCACAGTGACTCATTAATGACTTAGTAGATAGGGCCAAATGCTGGTGCACACAAGGAATATATCTTTTCACATTAGGCATAATCCCCACACTATCACGATCGAGATTTGAACCTTGATCTCTTATCTTAAATACCGCATACTAAACTATTGAACATTTGAATTAAGCCCATGTGGGGCAGGGTTCTATGTAATTCTCATCTGTAGATAGTAGACTGTAGGGCTTGAGTTCAGCTTTTTGTAGAATAGTTTTCTTCTTTCTTTGTGTTAGATTTTCAATTTTGTGATGTGGGTTAAATATATATATATGAATTGAAGTTTCTGTGTTTTCCCAAGTATTCTACGGAGTAGTATTTAAACTTATGTTTAATTTCTATGTACTTTTCTGGAGCTGCCGCCTTTAAAAAATATTGGGACCATTACAAGCATGCAGGACCACAAGAGGAAGCTATAATGAGCTGAAAGTACATACAACATGCTCATATATTGAGTGATATGATGAAGAATTCTACACACATCTTTGTACTCTCCCAGTTATTATTTAAGAGTGTATACTAAACAAATTAAATATTATTTTTGTATATATAATAGAGCATAAGGGTGTATATTGAACAAATCATGGTCTTATATCATTGTCTTCCATCCACATAATAATAATAATAATAATAATAATAATAACAACAACAACAACAACAACAACAACAACTACTACTACTACTAATACTACTACTACAACAACAACAACAACAACAATAATAACAATAATAAAGCGCACTAGACTAGTTCATCTCAACAAACTAAATTGGTTAATGAAAATAAAGTTATGTATTTGTTACTAACTATATTTTTTTATATAATGGTATGCATTTAATTTTAAAGAGAGTTGCTCAATGAAATATATTTTTTAAATGATATAGGAATGTTGAATCAATTAGATTTTTCCATAGTTTATGTTCCCGCTTTATTTGGTTTCAATTTATGGAGTGGTTAATTGAGAGAAACCCCTTTCTATTTATAGATATGTATATAAGAATTTATTATTTTTTTTTTTTAACTCAGGTGAACCTACTTTGTCGGACTAATTCTAATTAAGTCTACAGGACCCTGCCCCTAGAAACATTAGTGAGGTAAATCGCGAGTTGTGCGCAATCAGCTCATTGATCCAATCCTAGTCTTCATGTACATACAAAAGGGATAAAATCCAGACCTTCCATTATCTTTCGAACCCCACATTGCTGCCTCCCGTCATAACATTGAAATCAAGCGAGGTCTACGATAAGCCCTGAGTTTATAAAAGTAATATTTTTAATTGATATTTTGGATGCAGCTTAATTGGATTTTTCATCTAATATAAAAGTATTTGAAACGCCAATGAGACTATATGTATTCTTACAATTTATGATCTTAAACTTTTAAAATGAGTTATAGTGTCGTATTAACAGAACTATTATTCACTATTATTTTCTCTACATAAGTACATAACTACAATATTAATTCATTCTCAAAATATAATATAATAATATTTAAATTTATTATTAAAAAATACAAATTCCCATGCAAAAAGTCAACAAAAGACAAAGATGGGACAAAAAGGATAAAGAATAGTCAAATTGCAATTCATACACATAATGGCAAGAGTTGCAAAATGCTTTGAGCATCCTGCATTTTTGGTGGTTTTTGCAAATTAGAAAAAATTGAGCATGCGTTTTTGCCTAATATAATGAAAGAAGAAGATTTTAATTTGGATAGATTTTACTTATGCAAATGAAAGTTTTTGTTAAAAAAAAAAAAAAAAAAAAGAAGAAGAAGAAGAAGAAGAAAGTATCGAGGCGTTTCATAGCGGTTGTTAGCTGGTGGTCACTATGAAATTATTTTTATTTTATTTTTATGCGACAGTCAACCTTTTTCTCTCTCACTCTCTTCATTTTTGTCATAAATTTTGTTAAAATATTTTTAAATTTAATTTTGTTGTTAAATTTTTAATAATTTATGCAATATAAATGTAGTGTATAATTTTGATACTATATTATTTAAATTAGAATTTTATAATTATAAATTATTTTTAAATTTGACATGTTTAATTTAAATAGAATTACATAACATGAGACAGAAAGGCATAACACAAGACATATACACATGTTTTATATTTACTTTAGTTCAGGTACATAATCAATATTCTTAAGGTACAGTCATACAAAATTGCATAATACACAAAAACGCATAAAGCATAACACAAGACACAAAAGCGCATGTTATATTTACTTCATTTCACGTATATATAGAATCTATACATTTAAGATACAGAATTGTATAACATGAGACACAGAAACACATAACACAAGACACATATATATATGCTTTACAGTATTAAAAAAAAAAAAAAAACTTGTAACATTAATTGAATAAAAAAAAATTGATGGTTCTCAAAATTAAAATTCAAAACTATGTTTTTAGTATAGGTACACGATATAACGATTGGTAACATAGTTTGTGGTCAAGTTTATCTATGTTTAATTTGGTGGTTAGAGCTTGTCTGGATTCCTGACAGCCTAGCCTTTGGATATTATATTTATATTAATGGGAACAATTATATTTATATTAATCATCAACCGCCAATAGAATCAAACCTACATGCATGGGTTGGTGACAATAATATACTTCATGTATCTCAACGCTTGGTAGTTGTTACAATACCTAGTAATTCGAGGAATCAAAAGAGCACATGGTTGCATCCATTAATTATTTAATATTTTTCAATATCATAACATTATACTAAAAAAATTATGTTAAAAAAAAAAAAAAAAAAGAAGCTAAATCATGCTTTCTGCCAATAATTTGAAATTATTTTTAACTGTTCAACCTTTGTAATTTAGTAGAACTTTTTAACTTAATAATCTTAAGAAGGGATGTTAGACAATAAAAATGTGAGGAAACAAGCATTTTTGTTTTATAAATGTGAACTTCAAACTTTTAAGGGCCTTAACCGCTCCTGTAAGGAGTCGGAGGAGCCGGGTGAAAAGAGATAATCGCAAGATGTGTTTCAATTGACGTATAAGTTTCAAAATGCTTGTATACTAATACACATAATAAGGCTGATGTATACCTCCTTTTGTTTGTTCTAGGTAATTTTTCATCTCATCTTTTAGTGGTCTGATCAACTTGGTAGTTTATGTAATTACTAAATAAAAGAGATTGTATAATGGCATTAAGTAGAAAAGTAAATTAAAATGTAAAGAACATATAAACTCAATGATTTACTCTTGTATATATGTGTGTGATATGTATGTTAAACAGTTTTGAATCAAATTTTCTCTCAAGTAAAAGTCAAATTTGATTGACATGATGTGAATTGAATTCATATTAATTTGATTGTGTTAAGAATATCGAAACACGGAAATGGATAAGAAAAAATTACATTTTTGGTCCTCTAGTGTTATACTTGTGGTACAATCTTAGTCTCTGAGTTATATGCATGATAATTGTACAAAGTGGATATTTTTCCTTGCTGAAAAGGGTCAAATCAACTACTTTAATAAGTGACATATTGGCGACAAAAATAGTTATCGATGGACTAAAATCGCTACTTCACGCATAACTTAAGATTTAAAGATAATCACATATATAACTCATGAATTAAATATGTACTACGGATAGGTATAACTGAATTGAAATATCAAAAATGCAATTTTAATGATAAAATTAAGGATACTTGTGCAATATGTTACAATCAATTAATTTATGTTATCAATTTGGTTGTAATAATGACGATTAATCCCGATGAGATCACTTATCAACGTGCCGACACAAGCCCAAAAGCTTCGCACAACCTTTCTATATAACTTGGTGAAGAAGAGAATGGAAGCAATTCAAAAAAGGTTGAAACGTTGGTCTAAAACTGCAGAAATATATATATACAGCTCTTAAGATCAGATAGATAAATGGGTAATTGGGAAAAGGTCAATCTTGCACTGAGAATACTTTCCTTTGCCAGCCTCGTGGTTTCCATCATCTTCTCCCTCACCTCCACCTCCGGCAACAACTGCGACAACAACAATAACAACTACTTTCCAACCTCCGGCGACAACAACAACAACTGCGACAACAACGATAACAACTACTACCCCTTCGATTTTGACGTCAAAATCAAGCTCAACTTCAAGGACTTTTACGCTTATCGGTAAGTTTTCCACTCTAGATAAGTCCTGTCTTGTAAAAAATGAGTAAACCAGCTTAAGTTGTACGTTTATAGCTGATAGACTCAAATCAAGAAATTAAAGTCAATAGATTGTTTTCACTAATAGTTGAACTGGTAATTTTGTAGTTACACGCTGTCTGTAAATGCAATTGGAACCGTCTATTCTTTCATCCAATTTGTGTTAGCGATAGTAGGGATGAAATCCGACGACGATAAATCTTCAGATGCACTGGTTAAGGCTAATCCGTATCTCGATCAGGTATCTAAATTCCCACTTTATTTTAAAAAAATAATTTAATTTGCATTATTATTCTGAATAAATAACTTTGGGTTGGGTTAATGGTGATCGAGAAGGTGATGGCCATCCTACTGGGGACAGGAGCGGCGGCGGGATTTGGTCTTACGTTGGACTTGAAACACCTTCGTTGTGGTTCAACCATCACCAGAAGTTTTCTTAACAAAATGACTGTAGCTTCTGTGTTTTGCGCCGGAGGATTTGGATTCACCGCCGCATCATCCTTTGTCTCTCTCAAAATTTACGAGGAAGAGATGGATGTTTGTTGTTAGTTATTACGTGATAGTTATTTTTAATTTACTGTATAATACATGCATGCATATATGCTTCGATTCGTCTTCATTGTAATAATAATTTTGATTGACGAGAAAGTCCGTAATTACTACTGAATATGCGTTTTGGATTTTGGGTAGTGGTCAAAAGATTACAAAGAGTGGCTGCTCATAGTTGACCAGTAAATCGAGAATGCCAAGAAGTTAAATTAGAACTTTGTGATTTCCCAACCAATTTGGTTGAGGTTGTACCCGACATTAGGATAATAATTGTATGTAAAGCATGAAGAGATAATATCATAATAAAATTATCTAATAATTTTCACATTTATTTATTTGCTACAGCTTCATCATATATATTACTTATATCTATCAATCTATCATTTGAAATATATAAACATGCTTAATTTCAAAACTGGTCAATTGATTATTGATTTTATTCGATTTTTGTTCTCAAGTTTTAATTTGATCATAATTGGTCTGGATCTAATTTACAAATTTTGTTTTAAATTTGGTCATTTGTCCATAAGTTCATTTGTGAGGTGTCAATTATAAGAGCAAGTGTAAAATTACATCATTAATTAATAGAGCAAATACCAATTTTAGTCTAACAAGTATTAACAAAATGACAGTTTTGATCCGCATGTTTAATTGCTACCAATTTTCATCCACGACTATTGTTTTACTATCAATTTTCATCCACAACTATTGATTTAGCGCCAAAATTCATCACGCTGGTCACTCATCCTTTTAAGACATGCCGAAATCTAAAAATTTTAAAAGTATTTTCATTTTTTAAAACTTTAAATCCCATTTTGAACATGAATAAAGGGATTTAAGCTCTTAGATTGATCTCAATTTGTAGTTCTCCTCCTCATCATACCTTAATTTGAGGAGAAAAACTGCGAATTGGAATCGATCTTATAGCTTAAATCCATTTATTTGTGCTCAAATTGGGATCTTAATTTGAAAAGGACGAAAATACTCTTAATAATTTCATATTTCAGCGTGTCTTAAACGAATGGGTGACCGACGTGATGAATATTGACACTAAAATAATAGTCATGGACTAAAATTGGTACTAAAGCAATAGTCATGGATGAAAATTGGTAGGAATTAAACATGTGGACAAAAAATGTCATTTTGCTAATACTCGTGGGACTAAAATTGGGATTTGCTCTTAATTAATATCTCAACTTTCTTCTCCATGATCATTTATGTATGAGCTAGGACATGAAAAAACATGTCCTTCAAGATTAAGTTGTTTGGAAATAGCAATGATCCAATAGACATTCAATTATCTACAATGTATTTTAGACATTCAAAAATGACATCAATACACCTATATATACATAAATAAACAATCGGTAATCATCAAGAAGTAATGCGCAAAAAATTAGTTAGATTTTAATTTATATTTTTTTTTCTTTCAAATACTGCCCACAATATACTTTTGTCCTCATAATTGACACATCCCAAACATATTTCTTAACCTATAATCAATTTTATAAATAATAATAATAATAATAATAATAATAATAATAATAGTAATAATAATAATAATAATAATAATAATAATAATAATAATAATAATAATAATAATAATAATATTAAAGTCTTGGAATTAATTATAGTCAAATTTAAAAATACTAATAATAATTTTAAAATTCCAAGACCATTTTAAAAATTAGTGGTTTATAAGCTTCTTGATTGAAAAGAATATTTTGAGTTTTGGAAGCTATAGTTAAATTTTTTTAAAATAATTAATGTAGTGCCAAAGTTTAAATTGTTAATTATAATTAAAATTATAGCGTGAGTCATGAAAGATTCAAGTTTATCAAATTAAATTAATTAATTAATATAATTTTACAAAAGAATAGTTGACCAAGTTTATAAAAGATTCCCACTACTTGTCTCGTTATCAGACACTATTGTCAACAAACAATCAATAGCCAAAATAATGTATTGTGCAATGCAATGTGACTTTTCGTTATTTGTGTCACTGCGTTGGCTCCAAGTACATACTCCAATTGCCATTAATGCTATATATGTACATACTCCAAAACTAATGAGATTGCAAGTTGCTAGAAAGTGTGAAATAAGTACATGAACTATACATTATGTATACTAAGTGATAGATTTAATTCACTTGGGGTGGACCCGAATCAATAAATCCAAATAAAAATGTAATATAGATAATAAATAAATAAACGAAACGATGTCGCAAAGGTCGTGGAGACCGTGATCTGTATTAAATGCCGTGAATAGGCTATTACAATGATTTCTAGGACAAAGTGTATAGAATAGATAGAATGTGTCCTAACAAGATGAGGTGGGGGATTTTTATATGCAACAAACCCCCAACCGCTCCCCCTAAACCGGGGGCGGTTAGATCACCACGTTGACCGGGCCCGGACAAGACTGGGTCGGGTCACGTCCATTGAGCTCGGGTAGTACCGAGCTCCCTTACCCGAGCTTGGGTAAGGTCGAGCTACCCGACCCGAGCCCACCACCATGTGGCTCGGGTCTGGACACCTCCGAGGTGTTTTGAGCTCCACCTTGGTGCTCCGAGTCCCCGCTGCTACCCCAGGTCGGGTCGTATTTATAATATATCCGTCACTAAGATTTTTTTTTTTTTTAAATAGTAAACAATGACTTAACTATTTATACAACCTTAAGGCCAATAGGACGTCTTTTTGAAATTCAATCTTTGTCTGCAACCATGTTGGCCAACCTTGTTCATGTCGGCTTGGGGACCGAGAACCCATGTGACCTCTACTTCCTAATATGGCTTACCCCAAGGGCCCAAGGTAGGTGATCGGTTTGCATGCTTCACTTCAGTCCCTGCCACGTACACTTCTCGGGCTTAAAAGTTTAGGTCGGTTTATTCTTTACACGGTAGTATTTGTTCTATACTTTTTTCAATTATTTTCAGCTTAGTTCAAAGAATCAATGCTTCCGTTACCACTTGAGTTCGATCATGTGACCATCCATTTGAAATAATAACAAAACTAGGTTTCATAACATTCCATAGTATTTAAGGACGAAATTATTAAGAATTCCATCCGACATTATTGCGTCGAAATTACAGTATACTTCCAACCAGAGAATTGAAGCCGCAAAGGTTTACTCTTCTTCCGTGCCGTTAAGGAAATTGACCATTTCAACGGCATCACACGTAGTACAACTGTACAAGTTAAGGAAACCCTTCGAGGTAAGGACATGGAATGCCGAAACGCCGTTAATTTCGGGTCAATGGATATATAATCGAGGTGCAAAGTCAACGTAAACTTACGGGCTTGCTTGCTTATTCATTCCCATGTGGTCCAACGCCGGAATCGAGTTGTATGGTCGTTGACTTGGTTGGTTACGCATTCAAAGTCAACGTTAAGACTGCCGTTAACGCCTCCTATAAAAACATGCAAAGCCCAGTTGATGTATAGAAGTATCCAATACTAAACTACGACGGAGAAGCAAAGAGATCAGAGTTAACGACGGACATGGCGCCACCACCATCGACGGCGATCTCACCGGTAGTCGTGCTGGCCGTTAGGATTCTGACGTTCGTTTGCCTGTTGGTGTCGCTCATCTTAATCACTACCAACACCGTTACTTTATCTTCTTCAGATTACGATGGGGGTTTAAAGATCAAGTTTAATGATCTCTATGCTTATCGGTAATTAGTTAATTACCTACCTTAATCCTTTCTCTCTTAATATAATTAGGTATTAACAACATGCATATATCTATATATATTTATATGTCACTATTCAGGTGAGAGTGCGAGACCACCCCTTCCTAGGCATATTTGGGTCATTGAATATTTGAGATAATAACTTAGACTTCGCCAACTATGCTAGGCAACTATGTAACTTCACTTGCACAGTTTGCGATGCACAATTGACGAAATCTATGACATTAATCTCAAGCAATCAGTAGCGCAGATCTATCCATACGGACTCGAAGGAAATGGACTGATTTGATCATGAGTATATATATATATATATATATATATATATATATATATATATGTTCTGGTGCGGTTGTGTGGTTTAATTTGGGCCATTCATCTCGCTTAAATCAACGTCCAGGATTATCAAAATTTAAAAAAAAAAAAATGCGGTGGCAATTTTGTAATTTTTGCATCTAGGTCAAAATTGAGGTGAGTGATCTGTGATTAATGTGTGTGAGTTTTGTGCGTGAGGTTTGTGCTTAATGTGCGCGGGGTTGTGCTTAATGTGAGTAGTTGCTAAAACTTAGTCTGTGAGTGTGTGGGTTTTGTGCTTAATATGCGTGAGGTTGTGCTTAATGTGCGTGAGTTTGTGCTTAATGTCAGTAGTTGTTGAAACTTAAATTCTGTGAATTAATATTTAAAGTGCGCGGGTTTTGTGCTTAATGTGCGTGAGGTTGTGCTTAATGTGTGTGGATTTTGTACTTAATGTGCGTGAGTTTGTGCTTAAGATCTAACACTTAAGGTGCGCCATTTTTAACTTATGTTTCTTTCTTCTAGAGACGCGTTTTTTTAAAAAAAAAATTATTGATTTGAGCCGTTGATCTAAATTTGATCAAACGGCTCAGATCTAACCGCACGGGAAGCTATACCCGCACCTGAACCCTTCCCTATATATATATATATATATATATATATATATATATATATATATATATATATATATATCCTTAATCAAGTGAGAAACAACCTTAACATGCGAACTTCTGAACAATTGCACTACACCCGCATACGATTGCACCTTCTCCAGACATGTAGTAGTTGCGATGCAAGTTAAGGATGGTTCTCACTTGATTAGAAATCAAAGCAACCGTAATTTGTATTCCCAAAGTGACCATGAATGATTACTCACAACATGAATGGATGCGTAATTGATGTTATTGCAGGTACCTAGTTTCTACAGTGGTTCTGGGAATAGCATATACTCTTCTCCAAACTGCATTTTCCATCTTCCAAGTCAGCACTGGAAACCGCATTGGCGGAGAGGGTTTCTGCCTGTTTGACTTTTATGGTGACAAGGTGAATACACACACATATATATATATTAACTAACGATACTATATATATCATTTAATTTGGTATCAGAATTAACTGTTAGCCGGGGTACGGTGCGTTATTGCAGGTTGTTTCGTACCTTCTTGCCACCGGAGCGGCGGCGAGCTTTGGCATGACGGTAGAATTGAAGAGAAACGACCCGGGAAAGGACATGGATAAATTTCTGAACGTGGGAAACGCGGCGGCTAGTCTTTGCTTCATAGGTTTCTTGTTTGCTGCCGCCTCGTCCGTCTTCTCATCTTATGCTCTTCCTAAGAGAGTCTGATGATTGATTGGATTGTTCTCTGCATGCATGCATGGATTGAAATGGTGTCGGACTATTATATCAAGATTTTTCATCTTCCAATGTTAGTTTTTGTTAAGATTATTGTTCCTGTATGTGTATTGTTTTAAGAGATGGTTTAGGTGCATCTCCTTAATTGAGTCTAAATTTATAGTTACATTTATGGCATGTTGCATTTGTTCCACCTAAATGTAATTAATATTATTTGATTCAACTCACGTGAATTGAAAATAAATGTTAATTAGCAATGTCCTCGATCGATCTTTACAAAATCAAATAAAATTTTCTTTGAAAACAAGTGTGCACTACCTATTACCCATATCTTGCATAATAAGGCTAACATGCACAATTAAGTTTTGATCGTCCCATTCAAATGGTAGATCTCTAATAATATTGCTACATACACATAGTAATGTTATTTTCTTCAAACATAGTAATGTTATTTTCTTCAATCAAATAAATAAGGTTCAATAAACTTTACTCAAAAAGTTAATTAAAATTTTTAAACTTTTATAATTACAATTAAACTACTACAAACATATTATTTTGGAGGAGTAAAACAAAAATAAACCCATTATTTTATACAATTTTTTCAGAACACATCTTTGTTTTTACACCTTTGTCCCTCTTTTACCATGCTGGATGAAACGCCGACAGACACACAACATCTTCGTCCACATACATGGATATTGGATAAAGATGACAACGTCTTTAATTTGTCAAAATCTCTGCCGCCATAGTAACCACGACGGCGGAAGCGGCTGCCATACAATGGAGTTTTTCTTTAGTTTATTATCTGATCCATTCTCAAAGATCAATAAATTAAAATAAATAAATAAATAAATAAATAAGGTTCAAATTGCCCATTAAACATAATCTGAAAATGTAATTAGGTCACTGAACAAAATAAAAGTGCAATTAAGCCACTGAACATTCCAAAAACGTGCAATTAGGTCACTGAACACTTCAAAATTATTATTAAAAATTATTAAAAATGCAATTCAACTGCCTCATAAGCAAGTAACCTGCTAAAATTGAAGTTAACATGCTATCAGGTGAAATTGCATACGTTTGGAGTGTTCAGTGGCTTAATTACACTTCTTTTTTTTTCGTTCCGTAGCCTAATTGCATTTTTAGGGTACGTCCAGTGGCCAATTTGAACCTTATTTCTAAAAAAAAAAAAAAAAAAAAAAAAAAAAAAAAAAAAGTATGGGTCCAATAGCCCCCTTTACTATTCAAGAAAGTTCAAATAACACCTTGAACTTAAAAAAAAAAAAAAAAAAAAAAAAAAAACATTCAATTA